ATGGCGGTGTCGGGTCGGGTCGGGTCCGTGTCGGGGTCGGGGTCGGGATCGGGGTCGGAGTCGTGGTCAGGGTCGGGTCGGGAATATGTTTCGAATTTTTCGTTGAAAAATTCCAACGGAATGCGGTTGAAAATTCCATTGGAATTTTCCAACGGATATCGATTGAAAATTCCGTTGGAAAATTCCAACGGATGCCGGTGATATAGCTGACGTGATGTATGGTTCGATGTTTGGATGATGAATGATATATTGATTTGGGTCACAATGATATAGGTGATAGGGTTCGATGTAAATTAGATTGGAATTTTCCAACGGATATCGATTGAAAATTCCGTTGGAAAATTCCAACGGATGCCGGTGATATAGCTGACGTGATGTATGGTTCGATGTTTGGATGATGAATGATATATTGATTTGGGTCACAATGATATAGGTGATAGGGTTCGATGTAAATTAGGTCACATGATCGGTTCGATTGGTGATAGGTGACTTGGTCATAGTTCACAGGACAATAGGTCACATGGTACCAGGGCAATAGGTCACATGAGAATTGGTCACGTGGTACCAAGATAATAGGTCACATGGTACTATGTCACATGGTCACAGGTTCACAGGACAATAGGTCACATGGTACACTACAAAAAAAATGGTCATTTCCAACGGGTAAATCCGTTGGAAACGGCCAAATTTCCGTTGGAAATTAACGTTACCAACGGATTTCCAACGGATTTATCCGTTGGAATTTCGTCGTTAGAAATCGGTGTCCGTTGGAAAACCGTTGGAATTTTCAACGGAATTGCAACGAAAATTCCGTTGGAAAATTCCAACGGATGCCGGTTGGAAATCCGTTGGAAATTTCCAACGGAAAAATTCGTTGCAATTCCGTTGAAAATTCCAACGGTTTTCCAACGGACACCGACTTCTAACAACGAAATTCCAACGGATAAATCCGTTGGAAATCCGTTGGTCATGTGACCTATTGCCCTGGTACCATGTGACCTATTGTCCTGTGAACTATGACCAAGTCACCTATCACCAATCGAACCGATCATGTGACCTAATTTACATCGAACCCTATCACCTATATCATTGTGACCCAAATCAACATATCATTCATCATCCAAACATCGAACCATACATCACGTCAGCTATATCACTGTGACCCAAATCAACAAATCATTTCGATTTTAACCACTTCAAACCAAAGATTATAATGTTATCCCTAAAATTTCAAATACGAAACCCTAGATTTCTATCATTTCAAATCATCACGGCAAAACAATAAGGAAACATATAAACTTTCAAAATCGTGCAAATATGAGAAAAAGAGAAGTGATGTACCATGTGCTCATTTAACTCCGCGATTTGGATTCGAGAATCGGTCTCGTTCGAAGATGCTGACGAAGATGAGTGAACCACTGATGTAGAAGCCATTTTCTTCCTTCTTTGTGCTTCGAATCTGAGGAGAGTAAAGACAGAGACTTATGAGAAGAAAATCGTGGCTTAAATCGACGGTTTTTTGCCATAAAACCGGCGGTTTCGAAAGACAGACGGAGGAGATGTCGAGAGTTAGGAGAGAGAGGGAAATGGCGACAGTGAGGAAAGAGAGCGAACGTGGGCTGATGTGTGAAAGAGAGAGAACCGTTATTTTTATTTAATTTAAATTTTAATTTGATTTTTTCGTCTTTTGATTAAAATTTGAGGGTATAATTGGTCTTTGCGTCGCTTCTATCCATTTTTTTTTAATTTGGATTTTGAAGGGTATGTAGAGAAGTCCTTGCAGTAGTCAAAGGGTAGATTGGATATATCCCCCTTTCAACACCAGAGTGGTAGATTACAAAGCCGAACCAATTGTTGGAGAAAGAGAGTTATAAAAATATATACATAGAGAGAGAGCCACAAATATATATTCATAATTATAAACATATAGAGAGAGAATCGAAAAGGAACATCTCTTATATACCTTATTGGTCTCCCGAATTTCTGAATTCCTTCTCAAGAGAAAAATAATTACAGGGTCGATCTCGCTAACGGCTTCGCCCGATCTTTCCGAAACGAAACACGTTTTGGATTTGATTCTTGATTTCTACGTGTTTTTTTCTCTTTGGGTTTCTAACAAAACTGGGGTTGAAGATTTGAATTTGAACAGGGGATGAAATCTAGTTATTATATAGCAAACATTTTTTTTGTAAATCAATGTATGTATTTAATACATAGGCAAAAAGATTTAGACTTTTAAATCACTTTTATAAAAAAAGTTTAAGTTAATTGAATCTAATTATTCATTATATACATAATTTATAAAAGAAAAAAAAGGTGATGATTGATGAGACGTAGAATTAACATAGAATCCATTAAACAAAAGATTGGACTCGTGTCGTCTTCCCGTCAAGGTAACTGTACTTTTTATATATAAGATGATTTTTGGATTTTTGATATTATTCGGTTTATTTTTATATTTGATTTGAGTTCAAATTTTTAGATTTAAAAAAACTCATACCCATTTAAATTTATATTGAATTCAGTTTTAAAAAACATATATGCATCAGTTAGTCGACAAAGATTTGTAGCTTTAATCAAACCAAAATCACCCAAGGGTTATGTAGATCTCCCATTTCATAGATAGAAACCTTGTTCTTGGGTTTTTGATGTAATATTGAAAAGTCTTTTAAATTTCATTTTATTCTTGTTCCGTCCAATAGCGTAGTCGTCTTTAGGAGTTGAGGTTTCGGTTTTCGGTTCTGTGTATTCAAGCGGTTTAATTTGGTGACTTTTTATTCGGTTTTATAAAAATTACATCAAACTAGAACCGAATGCTAAGTGGCTCGATTCGATTCGATTCAGTTTTAGTGTCGATTCTGTTGGTTGTAATGCTCTAGGATGATCCATGATATGACATTTGACTTTGTATTGATTCATTGATTTATGAATGCATTATTTATCCGTTATACGATTAGCATGTTTGTTGTATTTCAGCATCCTTGAATCATTAGAGAATGATTCTAAACTCCCTAGTCAGTCATCATTGTGGGAACAATGTTGAATGAAGACTAGCATGAGGTGTGATCAACGCATTGGATGTAGATCACAATCATGGGTACTCGTTGTGAACGAGTGACTGGATGACCCGCATGAGATTGTCACATGGACAGAGTCATGACTTGAATCTCATACATCGGTTCGTTTATGGATCCTCATACCTGAGATGTCTAGAGTATCTGATATGAAGAGTGGCGTGTCTTGACTGCGTCAAACGTCGTCTTTAACTGGATGATTATAACGGCGTTGATCAGATACGTTCACGAATCATATGGAGATAGTAGACATGCAATATGGGACTTGTCACCTCCTTAACAGGAGAGATATCGCTGGGCCCTCTCGTGGAAGTCGGACTATGAAAACGCGTG